GTTCTTCTGTGTTGTAGAAGAACAATTTTGTCGTACGATACCTCAACTGGAGTTAAGTAACGGATGAAAAGCGAAAAGAAGCGTGATCACTAAAGTGTTTGTGAAAATAATTGTCGCATCAACTTTTACTGACTCTTCATGTTATTTACTATAAAAGCGAAAAATAACTTCTAATCAAGATTAGCCCTTCTGTAGAACTTTTGAGTTTAATTGTAAGATTCCCAGTGAAAACATTGAAACTATTGTAGTAAATACAAAAAGACAAAATCTTAGGATGACATTCTTTGAAATGCTACATAAAAAAGTGCAGTTTGATAATAAAATAATGAATAGAGGAAATATGGACAAAGTGGCAAAGGTGAATGAAATGTTTGGACTCACGAAAGTGATAATACGGGATAAATTCATTTGGCTGTCGTAAGTTTTTAGCCACATTGCGAATATAGCCATCTACTTCACGGTTAGAAATTTCATGGCATTTCATGAATGTCACGGAAAAAATTTATAATTATTCCCTCAAGTTCCGAGTGTAACTTCCGGCTTCAACAGTGCGTCTCAGTTTCACCCTGTTTCTTACAGTCCTTTTTGCCTAACTCCACGATTGCCCTTAAGCTCCCATCTTCCCACATGATCTCTGCCATGTCATTCTTGGACGACCGATTCTCTGTTTCTCATTCGGGTTCAACTCGAGGTCCTGGCGCGCAGTACTATTCAATAATCTCCTCAGCGTGTCCAGTATATCTCCGTTTTCTTCGGATTATGTGTTGGGCAATAGGTCCTCAGCTGGTTCGTTTCCAGAGTTCCTTGTCGCTACACCTTTCCAGAGAGCTATACGGTCTTCACTATCTAATCAATGAAGGCAACTATTGATGAAAGTCTGAAGCTTTTTATAAGTGTTTCTCGTGACTCACCAAGTTTCTGAACCATATAGAAGAACTGACGACGGTGACGTTGAAAATACCCATCTTGTTCCTTATGCTGAATGCAGCAGGCTGCCTCACTGACTTTAGAGCAATAAACGTTTATCTTACTTTTCCGACCCTACCTTTTATATCCTCATCTGTGCCGTTTGTAGTTGAAACGGTGATGCCTAGTTAAGTGAAAGAGGTGACCTTTAGATTTCTCCAGTTGATAATGATTGGTGTGTGTTGTTGGTTGGCTATCTTCGTCACCTCTGCATTCCTTGTGTTCAGTTGAAGTTTTGTCTTTGCTACTTCTTCTACCAATTTGTTGATTTTCACTTGTAGTTCTTTGAGTTTTCTTGGCATTAAACATGAATCATCCGTTAGATCCCGGTTTTCTAGAGTCTTCTTGTCGGCACAATGTATTCCTATCTTCTCACTTCTTATAAGCCTGTAGCATAATCCAGTCGATCACAAACAAGAATAGCATCGGTGATAATAAGCACCTTTGTTTTACTTCTGCCTTCACTTTAGAGGCTTTACTGAGTTTTCCGCTGTAAATCACTTGACATGTGGCATCATTATATTGTTGTTGGGTAATTGGATGATGATTATTGTAGCTTTCCAAGTTCTTGAAGACTATAAGAAGTATGTGTGTAACTTGTTATCTCCATTATTTGGCTTTAATATAGTAAGTCCGTGGAAGACATGAAAAGACTAGCTGTCTTTGATCATAGGTGCCTGCGCTCTATTTCCCGTGTAAAGTGGCATAATAAGGTGAGCAACATTGAAGTTAGGCGTCGAGTTCTAGGTAACCAGGGGAAATCAATCGATGAAGTCGTGAAGTTACAAAGACTGAGATGGTTAGGACATGTGTTACGTATGCCAAGTCATCGCCTCCCTCGACGAGCAATGTTAGCGGATATAGAGTCAGGCTGGAAAAAAGCTAGCGGCGGTCAAACGAAAACTTGGCACCAGTCAATGAAATCCACAACAGTTGGTCTAAGCCACGTAGGAAGGTGTAGACTTCCAGGCTGGGGTCCTCGGGACGGTAAAAGTCTATGGTTGGAAACAATTGGTGACATGGCTCAAAATCGTTCTCAATGGCCGGCGCAGATGCATCCACTCCTTGTGACTTATGATCTCCAATGAAACTGTTTTGTTCTTCGTTACTACTATTCCTTTGTCTCACACCTCTGCTCACTGTCTCTATTATGCTTTTCTTGTACTTTCTTCTCTTGCTTCGCGTGCTACACGGAGTGTGGCGACTTGAACTTCCGCACATTTGTGCAAAGTTCTATGTCGAAGACAGACAGACAAACAGACAGTAAGTCCGTAGTTTGAATCCAGCTATATCCACCATCAGAAATAAATTGTAACTCATAGTTTAGCTTACAAACAATGTGTACCGAGTGACCAGTTACATTCTGATTTGCCTATCATTACCTAATGCTGTCTGACTAGGGATTGAGTCAGTTGTGCCATAGTTTTATTGTCCTATTATACGACTTTAACACAGGTACAGCAGACAAATCTCTAAATGCTTAGAATAACTGATAGCTGTTTGTTTCACAGCATTGCATATAGTTTGCAAAGTAACCACAGCAACACACGTGTTGCTCTTAGTGCATTAGGTAAATCAGTGAAGAAAGTTGCCTGTCTAAACTAAATTGTTCTTTTCCTTGTATTCATTTTTGTTTGATGTGATATTCTATTTCTGCATGTTTCTTTTCATGCTCTCACCAGACAGCATTCTACTGCTGGTGATTGATTAGCTTCTCTCTCTTTGTAGTAGACTTTTGTGAATCAAGATTACGTCAACAAATAGCTGCTACTTTTTACAACATTTCATATAATTAATTTAGACACCGATTCACCGATTTGTTTTACGTTTTCATTTGCGAAGTACTTTGATTTACCATTCTGAAGTTCTAATTAGGTAATTTTTTAATCAGGATATCCAGGATTTCAGACACATTTGATTGGATACTGGTGCAACTAGTAGTCTAATGTAAAAAGTCATTTGCGTAATGCTGCAATGTGTTCAGCCTTTCTTAGCATTAAGGACGTGTTATGAAGGCTATATTTACTCACTCATCGCTTTGTAGCCTGCACCGCTGTTGTAATTTATAAAACTTTACAGATGAATTACTGTGCCTCTGAAAATTTCATCTTTTTTTTCAGAATGTTTTCACATACCTATGTATGCTTTAATCTACAGTCATGAACCTATTGTAGAATGTCTTTCTCAGTCATAAATTAATTGGTGGTTGATACAAAGCATGCATTTCCAGTAGGGGATACATTTCAGTGAATGGTAACTTTTCAAAGTTTCTCTCAACCAAAGTTTGTCTTTGTATTAGTTCGTGAAGGACTTGCCAAGTGATAAGTCTACTAAATATGGTTTTGTCTTTAATTTTCTTTTATTAATCTGAGTCATATTGTCCTTTATGTTCTTTTTTAATAAAAAGGCGAAAAATTCAGGAGATAAATTGGCGTCGAAAACAGGAGCAAACGGCTGCTGGTAAACACCTCAAAGAATTAGAAGAGACTTGGGTTAGCTTGGTTGGCAAGAATTATGAAATTGAACAGGCAATATTGGAACTAGAGGAAGCATTGGGTGTATCGCCAGAGGATATGAATAGTGAAGATCAGTAAAATTGTGTGTGATTATACATAGCCATAAATAAAAGATATCTCAGTATTCTAACTGATCGTTTTGGTAACGCACATGATTTATCAAATCTTTTTATTTATTTATTATTTTATTTGTTTACGTTCCCAGTGGAACATAGGGCTTCAAGCCTTGAAGTTATAGTAGCAATGGTGTTTATTTTTGCGGGATGGCGTTGCTAACCTCATGCCCAACCTTTACTCTTTGCCGATTTTATTACCGGCTTAGAGAGGTAAAGGAGTGCGCCGGCCGAGTATCGAACCCCGGACCACATGCATGGTTGGCGCGCATTCTACTGCTGAGCCACCAACGCACATGGCATATCAAAACATATGGAAAATCCCCTTAGTAACCTATTATAAGTACTTTTGTGTGGTAAAAATCAGTCCTGTACCTTATCTTCTATTTATTTATTTCAGTATTTTTGGGAAGTGTGTTTACTGAAGCAATTTTACATAAACAAGAAAACGAGCAGGGACGTTTTTAGCTTGGTGGTACATACTACTGACTAGCGTGAATAGTTGGAAACCACCTGCATAATGCACAAATGCTTGCTAGTGAGATCGAAGTTGTCTACACACTGTACATTTGTTCCACTCGTTCGGCGCCTACCTTATTACCGTCGTACCCACGTTGACTCATCCCAAACAACCGAATTGTGTCTAGCTATTTGAGTTAATTGGTTTGATAGAATCACATTGATCATTTGCAAATAACACAGTTTCAGGTGACAGTTCAGTACAATTTCCTTTTCATATGAGTGTCATGAGGCTACTCATGTCAGTGATGACAGTCTAGGGGAGATGGCTAAACCCTGATTCCAAACCTCCAACGACTGGCGTATGAAGCTCACCGGCAGACTTATGGACAAAGGGCTTATTGGATGCCCTGGATGTCTGGCCCCATTCAAAAAGGCGTATGAACCGGACTCCGGTCACCGGCTGGCTGCCAATGGATAGTGGACTCCCTACTCCACTCCTACTGCCTTGTAGGTCACACTTGGTTGTGTAAAGGCTAGAGCTGCACTCTCAAACAAAAGGCCGAGCTGTGCTGGGGACATCACTCGTACCTAATTCCCATGAAACTTCATGAACTCTCTACAACATCAACCAAATTCCAGTACTGGTCCAACAACGTCGCCTTCGGTGGTTTGGCCATGTTCTGCGCCGACCAGATGACAATCTGGTCAAATCAGTTCTAAATCCCTCACCATTTCCATCTTGGCGATGTCGCAGGGGTGGACAGCTGAAAATATGGCTTGGTACAGTCAAGGCTGATATGGAGTGCCTGGGCTGGGGCTACAAACCGTCTACGTACTCCGTCTGTGGAACAAAAATTGGATAACCCTGTCGCAAAACCTTGCATCAGATCGCCACGCCTGGGCAGCGATGATTCGAGATGTTGTCTGTCTGTCTGGATTCAACATAGAACTTGGCACCGAAGTGCAGCAGTTCGAGTTGCCACGTTCCAAATAGCACACACACAGGGGTAGACAAGAAGATGAGTGAAGAGAATCAATAGAGTTTGACAAGTATAAGAGTGAAACAGAATGGGTAATGGTAGAAAGGAATATGAAAGATTACAGAGACTGAATACATCTGCGCCATTGACAACGATTTTGAGCCATGTCACCTATTGTCTCCAGCCATTGATTCCTAGAGTCCCGCGGGCCCCAACCCGCGAGTCTGCATCTCCCTACCTGACCTACTCAGTTTAACTGTCAAGGATTTCATGGATTGATGCCATGTTTTTTGTTTGGCCACCACTGGCTCTTTTCCAACCTGCACCTATATCAGCTAGTAATGCCCGTCGGGTTAGGCGATGGTTAGGCATGTGCAGCACATGACCTACCCATCTCAATCTATGTAACTTTATAGCCTCGTCGATTGATTTTCCCTCTTTGCCCAACACTCTACGCCTAACGTCAACATTACTTACCTTATTAAACCACCTAACGTGAGACAGAGATCGCAGACATCTATGATCGAAAGCAGTCAACCTTTTCATGTCTTCAACGCGTATTGGCCATGTTTCAGAGCCATAGAGAAGGACGGAGCGAACTGCTGAGCAGTACATACGTCCCTTGGTTGATAACCGGATGTCACGCCTACGCCAGAGATGGTGTAAGTCAGCGAAAGCAGCTCGAGCTTTTCGGATCCATGCTGAGATTTCATCGCCAATCAGTCCGTTGGTGCTAATACAACTAACGAGATGTTCATGAAGCCGGCTCATCCTCCCGTAAGAGATGGCCGAAGTAAAGTAAAGTAAGTGTGTCAGTGAGTGATGTGTATCGTCATGCTATTTTAATGTTTTTCTTGATTGACACTCATAGTGTCAGATGCTGTGATCTGAATATTCTTGAATTCCAAAGGAAATGGTGTTGAATTCTCATCGTGACCTGTATAGTTTGTGAATGAGGAATTGAATGCTATGGATTTTCTGTTGTCATTAGAAACTTAAAAATAACCAAATCAAAATATCTCAGTCCAACTGTTGTGGATTTCATTGACTGGTGCCAAGTTTTCGTTTGACCGCCGCTAGCTTTTTTCCAGCCTGACTCTATATCCGCTAACATTGCTCGTCGAGGGAGGCGATGACTTGGCATACGTAACACATGTCCTAACCATCTCAGTCTTTGTAACTTCACGACTTCATCGATTGATTTCCCCTGGTTACCTAGAACTCGACGCCTAACTTCAATGTTGCTCACCTTATTATGCCACTTTACACGGGAAATAGAGCGCAGGCACCTATGATCAAAGACAGCTAGTCTTTTCATATCTTCCACTCTGAGTGGCCAGGTCTCACAACCATAAAGGAGGACGGAGCGGACTGATGAGCAGTACACCCGCCCTTTGGTCGATAGTCGAACATCTCGTCTACACCAGAGTCGGCGTAAACTGGCAAATGCGAAACGAGCCCCCTGTATGCGTGCTGAGATTTCGTCAGAGATCAACCCTTTGAAGCTGATGGTACTTCCCAAATAAGTGAAGCGGTCAACGTGCTCTACCACTTCACTTCCTATTTTTAAACTAGGCGTCGATGTAGTCCAGTCCTGTAACATCATCTTGCATTTGGCTGGAGCGAATCGCATGCCAAACATTCGTAGATTGCAGCTCAAGGTGTTTAGAAGACTCTGCATTTTGTCAGCGTCTTCGCCTAGAAGGACTATATCGTCTGCATATTCCAAGTCAACGAGATTATTCCCTGGTAGCAAGTCAATCCCTGAGTTGCTGAAGTCACTTAGGGTTAAGTCCATTAGCACATCTATGATGAAGTTGAATAGAAAAGGGGATAATGGGCATCCTTGACGGACACCACTAGTCGTCACCAGTTCAGATGACAGCTCGCCGTAAGCCCTCACCTGGCTGTATGAGTACGAGTAGAGTGCCTTAATCAGTGCAGTGTATTTTCTTGGCATTCCCTTTACAGCCAGGCATCTCCAGAGGACTTCTCGATCGACAGAGTCGAAAGCTGATTTTAGGTCAAGAAATACAATGACTGTTGGACGCCGGTAGGAATGCCTATGTGGATATGCATCAATCAGATGTTTATCGCTACAACAACTGACTTATTGCAGATCAACAATCACTGCATTTCTCGATACTAAAACTATAATAATAATAATAGTATATTCTCATTTTGTACATGAGAGACGCCAGTTTACAGGCATCATCAATATGATAAATTACATATACGATTAGCAATCATAATTAATAATAATGTTTTAATAAAATACACATTTTTTCCTACTTGTGTAGGACACACCAAATATACAGGCATGGGTAAGCATTATTTAAATTTCATAAATTCGGTTTATGGTTAAGTTACATGGTTGCTGGCGTTTTTATCTTAGGTCTGTGGGAACAATATGACAACCAGTCATTCAATGGAGCACGTCATGAAATATAGGAATATTAACCTCGCATTAACAAAAATACCCAAGTAAGTTTTGGATGGATTAAAAATACTTGGGAAAAAATAAAGCTTGAAGTTATTCCACAATATAACAAGTCATTCAATGGAGCACATCATGAAATATAGGAATATTGTCTTCGCATTAACAAAAAAACCCAAGTATGTTTTGGATAGATTAAAAATACTTGGGAAAAAATAAAGCTTGAAGTAATTCCTCAATATAACTTGGGTGTGTACAAATCCGAATCTCATTTTTGATTTGATTTATATCCAAATTGGGTAATAAGGAAGCTATTTTACAGATACGATCAGTTATGTTATAAGCTACAATCGTGACGTTGTATTACAAATAGATACTTTTCCATTGGTATAAGAGTATATTCCACAAATGTAAACCAGGTTGCGTCGTGGAGAAAGTTAATTCGTTATTAACCAGGCAACTGAAAGATACGGGACCAATAATGTTTGCAGATCATTTGTCATTGTAAATGGTCAAATATCCACATTATTCATTCTCATTCAAAAAGTCAAATAGAAGCTGAAATGGTGAGAGAAAAAAGAAGACAAACAACAGCAACGCAAAAGAAAGCAACGGGAGTCCTTAAGGAGTGATTAATAAATATATACATATATATTCTGTTTTGTAACTTTGCTTATTTTTTGTTCATTGACTAACTAGTCCCGTTACGCTAACTTTTATATTATGTGTAAACTAATATTACTGTCCTGTGTAGAAATGTTTATCATCTAGTTCCAATAATATTAAAATTTATAATTGTAGTTGGTTGTAACTACACGTCTAAAGAACTTAAAATATCTATGTATGGTGAAAAAGAAGGTGTAAGAGTCAGGCGCAAAAGTGCATTGTCATCTTTGAGCAGTCTGATGACTGAGGAGATGAACACTGGAAGTGTGTTTGCATCGCGCACATTAGCTGGTAGTCTATTCCAAATGACTGAAAACTTATTTAAGAAGTTTTTGTACCGCACGTAAGTCTGACAGTGCTCCATAGCAGCTAGGCTGTGATGATTTCTAAGATTGTAACTGATGACAGCGGTAGGTTTAGTTATTGGCTCGGAGGAATGCAAGAGAAGATTAGTTAGCTTGTAGTAAAAGATAAGGTTTAGCTTAAGACGTCTTTTCCAGAGGGGTTCTAATCTTAGTCTTTCGCATCGCTCATGGTATTCCAGACCACTTTCTAAACCAAGAATTCTTGAGGTAAACTGCCGTTGCACTCCCTCTAATTTAAGCTTGTCATTTTGTCTGAGTCCGCTAAGAATAAACGGGCAGTATTCTAAGATAGGTCGGACACATACTTTGTATAATAAAACCCTAGTTTCACAACAAAAGAAATTGCGTGTTATGCATCCTATCAGCCTTCGCGTTTTACGTCTGGCATAATCAGTCTGTTCAGCGAACGTTAGGTTACTAGAGTATCTAATACCGAGATCTACGACTGAGTTGAGCTTAGCTAGTTTTCGCCCATTTATTTCAAGAGTTAGATCAAGGTTACTGTTGCCGATACAAATCCAGCCGCATTTCTCAATGTTAAAGTTTAGACAGGATTCAGCACACCACGTTGCAAGGCTACTTAGTTCAAGATGTATTTTAGTAACCATATCGCTTAATTCATGAGTGTAGCAGGAGTAGACGACTTTGAGGTCGTCAGCATATAGGAATGGTTTGCCTAAGGTGAAGCACTTGCAAATGCTGTTAATGTAGACTGTGAATAAAAGTGGACCTAGGACACCACCTTGCACAACCCCACTTGAGATCTGCCTAGGATGAGACAATACAGATCCAACTTTGGTTATCTGTACCCTGTTGCTTAGAAATGATTTTAACCAGTTCAGTAATGGGTTGCGAATTCCACAAGAGTACAGCTTCTCAAACAGAATACTGTGAGATACCATGTCAAATGCCCTATCTCCGACCCCCTTTCATCAAACCAACGCTGGACACAAATAGACCACATAGCAATAAGCTATCGTTGGCATGGGTCGGTAGGAGATTGTCGCTCCTTCTGGAACACGTGTGTAGATACCGACCACGCACTGGTCCGCCCTCGGGTGTGCTTACGACTGAACGGACGTAGGAAACAGCTAGCGGTAAAACCACCACGTCCCCAGCTCGATCAGGAAACTAAATCCCTATTTGAGGAAGAACTAGCTAAACACATATCTGTGTTCGACAGCTGTGCTCACCCTGAAGAAGCTTGGAAGAATATCCAGCCATCCATAGATACAGCTGTAAAAGCTGTGAACAAGGTAAACCCAAAGGTGAGTAAAAACCACTGGATCTCCACCACCTCATCCGAACTGATAGATGCTAGAAGACTTATTCCGGCGAGCTCCGAATTCAATGAGGAGCGAAAGCTGCACAAAAGGAAACTCACGAAAAGTCTCCGCAAGGACCGTGAACAGTGGTGGCTGACAAAAGCGAAAGAGATGGAGAAAGCTTCGAGGATAGGCAACTATTTAGACTCATCAGGGAAACGGGTGGGAGAAGAAAAATCATTAGTGAAACAATCTCGGAAAAAATGGCACTATAATTAGCTCCCAGGATAGACGACTGGATCGTTGGAAAGAGTATTATGAGGAGCAGTTTAATTGGCCCACAGCCACGCTCAACCTTCCGAACATCCAACGCCTCCCTGAATGGGATATAGACACAGGTCCTCCATCCCTAACTGAGGTTACTAAAGCTGTCACCAATCTGAAACTAGGCAAAGCAGAGGGACCTGATGGAATGACTCTAGAGGTATTTAAGTACGGTGGAGACAGTTTACTGTCTGCATTAACTGAGGTTCTAGGCAGCATCTGGGAATCAGAAGAAGTCCCATCGGGTTGGTGTAAGTCACTGATTATCCCGATATACAAGAAGGGAGACAAATCTTCCTGTGATAATCACAGAGGGATTAGCTTGACTAATATAGTATCTAAAGTCTTAGGCTCAATAATCATGCGTAGACTGAGTGGTGCTCGGGAGGCTCAAACACGAGAGAGCCAGGTAGGCTTTAAACCAGGAGGAGGGTGTATTGATCATATCTTCGCCCTCCGACAGACTCTAGAACATAGACATTCCTACCGGCGTCCAACAGTCATTGTATTTCTTGACCTAAAATCAGCTTTCGACTCTGTCGATCGAGAAGTCCTCTGGAGATGCCTGGCTGTAAAGGGAATGCCGAGAAAATACACTGCACTGATTAAGGCACTCTACTCGTACTCATACAGCCAGGTGAGGGCTTACGGCGAGCTGTCATCTGAACTGGTGACGACTAGTGGTGTCCGTCAAGGATGCCCATTATCCCCTTTTCTATTCAACTTCATCATAGATGTGCTAATGGACTTAACCCTAAGTGACTTCAGCAACTCAGGGATTGACTTGCTACCAGGGAATAATCTCGTTGACTTGGAATATGCAGACGATATAGTCCTTCTAGGCGAAGACGCTGACAAAATGCAGAGTCTTCTAAACACCTTGAGCTGCAATCTACGAATGTTTGGCATGCGATTCGCTCCAGCCAAATGCAAGATGATGTTACAGGACTGGACTACATCGTTTTGAAATACAATATGATACATCAACAAAA